AATCCTTTAACGGATTTGAATATTAGAAGCGTATTAGTGTGTTATGTGTAAGCCAGGTTAAAGAGATGGGTCTTTAATCTAGATTTAAACTGCAAGAGTGTGTCTGCCTCCCGAACAATGTTAGGTAGGTTATTCCAGAGTTTGGGCGCTAAATGGTCAAGTCAAGTTTATTTGTACAGCGCTTTTCACCATACAAATCATTGCAAAGCAACTTTACAGCCAATTAAGTTTCTACAATATTTAGTGGTAGTTTATCAGTGGTGACTGTCAGTTAATGTACATATGGCAGAAATGTACGGAAAAATCAATTTAAGACATAATAAAACAGACGATGAACACTATTAACAGCAATTATTATATGATGCAATCAAACTTATAGCGAAATGTGGTAGTTCTGTATGTTGTTTCAGGGTTGGCATCATCTGAGGTCCTCTGAGGGGTTGGCATCATCTCTTCTCAGGTGTTCTGGACCCAGACTGCGGGGACCCAGCACATATCACTGAGAGCTGCTATCAGTTGTTTTTGGTTCACCTACAGCAGATGGAGGGTGTTGGCTCTGGCGTTGTGGCAGCGGCCTGAGAGCTCTCACTGGAGGAGGAGGACGAGCTGGGCCCACAGGCTTCAGTGGTTGGGGGGCCCGCCAATATCTGGGGGCTTGCAGCGAAAGAGTGGGAGAGTTTGGTCCCAGCTTACACCAGTTCCTCCATTTTCTGTGAGAAACTTAGAAGTGGAGATGCTGGAGAGAGGAATAATGTGTCTGGTGAGATGGGCTCTGGCTCTGGTGTTTCCGGTGGCTGAAATATGTTGTCCTGGCATCCCTGGCTGTTTTCCAGAAAGTCGTCCTTGGGTGCTGAGTCTTGGAGCTGTTCTGATACGTCACAGTCTGTCTGTGATGAGCTCTGTGGACAGGGATCAGCCGGGATGGTGTCCATGAGCAGTGCTTGTTGTACCATCAGGTGATATTTTAAGCTCGGAGCTAGGTGTCACACCGTCGAATGCTGCTAAACGGCTAACAGCTTAATCTAGCAAGTCTTCCCATTTCCTTTGGGACTTTGACATTATTTCTGAATCTACACTAGATATTTAGAAGTTTCAGAAAAAATCTGACTCGATAAGGGACACGTAACTTCGAAAAAAAAGCAGTGTTTTGCAGAGATCGGGAAAGACGACCACTTTAGAGCGCCATCTTGTACTGCTCCCCGCTGCGTTCCTTTTACCTCGGAGGTCGGAGCTGGGAATGACGTCACACCCAACTGGACCGTGTTCCAGTAGAAATCAGACAACCAAGCTGGATGTGTCCATTGTTAGCTATTGTAAACTAGCTATATTTTAAAATATGAAGTATATTATATATAAATGATTGTTAAACATAAGAAATATAAATTAAGAAATATATATTTCCATATGTGTGTATATACAGCATGAGTAAATATGTGATCAATATATGTATACACTGCAGTACCATATCTTATCACATGTACATCTATATATTACATTGTGATATATAAGTAAATATATTGTCACATTTTTTTAATATATGAAAGCGGCAATTCCTTATGTATTATTCAATACATTGTAATATATTTACACAATATATTATTCTGTATATTTTTTAACATACCGTTATATAATTGAAAGGGTTCATATGATGCGATTTCATGTTTTCCTTTCTCTTTGGAGTGTTACAAGCTATTGGTGCATAAAGAAGATCTGTAAAGTTACAAAGACTAAAGTCTCAAATCCAAAGAGATATTCTTTATAAAAGTTAAAGGGATAGTTCACCCAAAAATGAAAATTTGATGTTTATCTGCTTACACCCAGGGCATCCAAGATATAAGTGACCGACTGAGCCTGGTTTCTCCCAAGGTTTCTCCATTCTGTCACCGATGGAGTTTTGGTTCCTCTGGCTTGCTTGGTTGGGGACACTTAATATCCAGCGATATCGTTGACTTGATTGCACAGATACCATTTAAACTGAACTGAGCTGGATGATGACATCACTGCATTCAATGATGAACTGCCTTTAACAGAAAATTGAGTGTTTTACCATTATCACTTTGCATTATTGACACACTATTTTCCTAATTAATGCTGTACAGTTGCTTTGACACAATCTGTATTGTTAAAAGCGCTATATAAATAAAGGTGACTTGACTTAATGTGTAAAGACACAAAACGATCAGTCTGTGCAAGAAACTGAACAGTATTTATATAGTTTTTTTTACCTCTGATGCACTGCAATGTCTGAACTGTCCTGAGTGCGTCCTCGACAGCCGGCACGTGACGCGTCTTATTCTTCTTCTTACTTTACGGCGGATTGCAGACTTATAAGTGCATTACCGCCACCTATCTCTCAAGTGGACCATTGACACTATCACTCTATATATGTTTTTTTGACTCTCAAACCGTGATTCCCATTCACTTCCAATATAAGACTGACAGACTGCAACGGTTGGAGTTAAAAATCATCATCTGTGTTCTACTGAAGAAACAAAGTCACCTACATCTTGGATGCCCTGAGGGTAAGCAGATAAACATCACATTTTCATTTTTGGGTGAACTATCCCTTTAAGACTCGTCCACGCCCTCCTAAAACGCCTCATCTGAAGACGTCTACGTCATGTCTACGTCACTGTGTGGGAAGATTTGCATAACGCCGCCCAAATGTCGCTGTAGTATTGTTGCTGCCACCATGTCGTGGAGACCCTGTGTCTCGTTGTGAAAGCTAAACTACTTTGTTTGGTCTTCCAAAAGAGGACACGACTAGAAATCAGTGGTTAAGTTGTATTTACAACACTGTTCCAGAACACTTCAACCCAAATATTCAGATGTGTGCAATGCATTTTACGGAGGAATGTTTCTTGAACCTGGTGAGGGGCGTAACATTTCCGTCACACGCTTGAGGTATTCGACCAATCACAACGCACTAGATAGCTGGCCAATCAGAGCACACCTCGCTTTTCAGACTGATGAGCTTTGTAAAAATCAATGTGTTTCAGAAAGGCGGGGCATAGAGGAGCAACAACAATGTACGGTGTTAGATTGGGTCTCCACGCCAGATAATTATATATATATATATATATATTTAGGATCCAACCAGATCCCGTCAGAAAATATAAGTTTGTCCAGTAACAGAACAGCTGGTCAGCAGCGCTGTTAATACCCAAACCCTGTCAACAGCTAGTCTTGTCTGGTATCCAAAAATACCCAAAACGAGTGTTTAACAGTCTTCTGTCAGTCAAGAAGTTGACCGAGGAAAGCAGAAGCAGGAGACAAAGTGATGATGGTAAAAAGTAACAGTTTATTGAACAATCAATCAAAGTTGCGTATGTCTCAATGTTCAAACTTCGTCTGACCAGCACAAATTCAACATGTACTGTTATACCAAAACTGCTTCACAACAACATCCCATAAACTTTGGGTTTCCATAAACATTCCCCCTTATCTATCGCTTATTCATACAGACAAAACAGTTCATGAAACCCCACAAGCATGAGATTGAACAACAATGAAAATGCATAAGCTAGGGAAAATTAATAAAAAAATATAAAACATAATAAATGAATAAACAATATAAATAGTTAATATAATGATAAATAATTTAAAAAATCAAATAATAAATCATATGAATGACTAATGATTATAAAATGATTATGTGAATAAATGATTATAAATTAATAAAAAAAAACATAAAAACAAAAACACAACACACACAATTTGCCTGTGAGGATCTAAGGATCCTTCAGTGGTATGTGGAAAATAATGCGTTTTTTGAACGTTAAACCACGTAAATACATTGCATTACACCAAATACACCAAATAAAGTTCTTTTTAGCAGCATCATATGACCCCTTTAATATACTGAAAATTCATATATTAACCCTTTCACACATGAGTTTAAAATATTCTAGCTGAGCCCCCAGCGCGAGTTTTTTAGGCGACCGTTATTTTAGAACGTATCGCCTTATTGTTTGTCATGTGACAATAGCTCTGTATGACACATGGATCGCGTTTATTTCCTTTTTCCTTTTTTATTCAAAATATTGACAAACATGCTCACTATATTATGAAATATCTGATATTCCGATTCTGTAATATGTGCAAGTAAATCAATGAAACACTTTTATAATGACCGTGTTATTTGATCTATACCGGGTGATGGGCGCCGCCATGTTAGTTCGCGCTGAATCCGAGCTGTGGGATTTACAACACGCAAATTCATCCTGTCCTCCCGAAAACACGTTAAAGTCTCCGGTAAACTGGGAGAAGAGCAGAGTAAACTTTATAGTTACCTACACAATCTGTATATGATATCAATAAAAACATGATCATTATTGCCATTTCCATAGAAATCAGCACGTATTTTACAAACTATAAATGTATGGTTTTGCTAGTATGTGTGTTTAAATGTCTGAAACCTAAAATAAGCATTATATGGTTGAAAACGGAATATTTGTGATAATATGGCAAGTGCTCAGCGCCAGCCAAAGATTTGAATTCAGCAGTTGATCACGTGACGCACTGAACGTTGAAATCACACCGGTGTGATCGTACGCGTCAAAGGGTTAAGAAATATATTGTCGTTGCATAAGGGGTGATTTACCACGTGCAAAGATTTAGTAACCCAGTATTACATAGTGAAGCTGTTAGATTAAAGTGCCATTTTCAATTAATCTGACACTTAAAAGTTACTTTCATGGTGCAACAATGAAATATTAATATTAAATTAATTTATATTTAATGTAATGTAATTAATTTTGAGTAGAATAAAACATGGACGCCTTGTTGATGCACTGAATGCCACTGTTTTCATTGGAGTGAAACTGCTCAGAAAGTTTTGAATTCAAATTCATCTTTAAATTCAAAGCCTAGTGTTCTATTTTTACTTGGCCACTATTAATATCCCGTTACTTGCGCACTATATGTAGAAATTATTTGATGCGTTTTTTTTGTGTGTGTGTGTGTGTGTTTTTTTAGAAAATATTATGTATATGGCTGCCAAGAGCCAAATAAATAAGAAATTTGAACGTTCTTTATTTGCTCTAAGTTAGGCGTCCACTTGTGTCTCTGCAGTTCCTCACAGGAATGTTGTTAAATCTGACATAGAAACACTGAAGAATCAGGATAAACCTTAAACCCAGCATAGAGGGGTTCAGTGAATGTGGTGTTGAATGTGTGTAAGTGTGTGAGTGTGTGTGTGTCAGAGATGCTGTAGAAGGACAGCGTGCCAGCCGACCAGTCCAGATACACTCCTACTCTATTAGAGGATGAAGAGCGAGGAATATCAGTGCTCTTATTATTGTGCCAGACAGTGTAAATCGTATCACAACAGTAAATATTCCAGGACTTTTCATTGAGTCCAAACCAACAATCAATTCCTCCCTTCCTGTTGATTCCTTTATATGCCACTGCTACATGACCGGAGCCGCTCCATTCAGCCTCCCAGTAACAGCGTCCAGTCAGACTCTCTCTACACAGAATCTGCTCAAAGCGCTCAAATCTCTCTGAATGATCAGGATATGGCTGATGCTCTTTCACACATGTTATTTTTTTGTTCCCTTCAGAAAGGATGAGTTGAGTGTGCACTGTGTTTGGATCCAGTGTGATATCACAGGCATCTGAACACAAAAAGGCATATCAAAACATCTACGTCATTATTAAATAGGGATGCACCGAATGTTCGGCAACTGAAATTATTCGTCCGAAAATAGCAAAAAAAAGCACTTTCGGTGTTCGGCCGAATAAGTGAAAAGACTGCATACATTTTACCGAACAATGATGTTTTTAATTACGCTATCAAATAGCAACCAGCGTAGAGTGAGAGGCGCGCACACTTAAAAATGCAGAAAACATGTCGGCAGTGTGGAAACATTTTTAAGTGTCATTTTAAAGACGCAAAAATGGCCGTTTACAGACTCCATCTGTGATCCAGAAGTCACAAACCACATTCAACAACATATAAAAACGAAATACTCTTTAGAGTAATTTCATGAACAAATGTGGAAAATTAGAAACAGAAAAAAAAATTCAAGCAGTGTCATTTTAAATTCCAGTGCAGTAAAACAGCTGTCAGCAGGGGGTGCTGCAGCACCCCTAGTTCTCGCGGCCATAAGTAGGCTTATGTCTAGGACAAATATTTTGTGGGTTCATCCACTTTTTTGCACTCTTTCGCACTGGCGCCATTGTACTGTGGCTGCCGTCGTGGTAGTGGTTGAGGAGAGACCCCCTCATGATTGTAAAGTGCTTTGGGTGTACAGCAATACACAATAAAGCACTATATAAATGCCTCATTCATTCATTCATACATACATACAGAGTATGTTACATTCTTTCAGCAGTTATGGGCCTAATATAGGCTATTCAAGACGGAGGGCTCAAAGATGGCCAAATAAAAATATTTGTATTTTACTCATTTTAATTAATTTATTTTATGTTATATTGTGCTTTGTTGGTGTAATGTCTGCTGGAATGTTTAAAAAATGTTAAATATTTTTAAATTGTATTTTTTCTTTGAAAAGCAAGACAAAAAGCACATTTTGACTATTTAATTTATGCAATAGTGGAAAAAACTGGCAAAATAAATGAAAAATGTGACCAATCGTGTTCGGTATTCGGCTTTCGGCCAAGTGTTTCGTTATATTCGGCTTCAGCTTTGGCCAAGTATTTTCATTTCGGTGCATCCCTATTTTTAAATATTCATAGGTGTTTGTGTGTGTGAGGACTTACATTTCCGCAGACCTGGTGTGATCCTAAAATGTCCTCCATGGTCCAAACTGAACATAGAAAAAAAATGTTCATGAATTCATTACTAATGCCTTTTCAAATGGTTTTACTATTGTGTAAAACAGAGTTTCCCAAAAGGGGTTTGCGAACCCATGGGGGTTTGTGAGCTGATGAAATGCCTATTTTTTTATTTTATATTTGTAATTTTATCCTTTATTTTTCCAGGAAGGTCCCATTGCGATAAAAATAAATATTTTCTTCAAGGGAGTTCTGGCCAAGAGGACCATACAAAAGTTTCACATAAAGTTTAAAAATAATTCTAATTTATGCATTTAGCAGACACTTTTATCCAAAGCGACTTACAGTGCATTCAGGCTATACATTTTTTTTTTACCAGTATGTGTGTTCCCTGGGAATTGAACCCACAACCTTTTGCGCCACTAATGCAATGCTCTACCACTGAGCCACAGGAACATAAACAAAGGCAGACAGTAAGCAAAATTATATAATATTTAACAATTATATAACAAATTAATTAAAACAGCAATATTTTCAATCATTATACACTGCAATAACTTTTAAAAAGTATTCAAAGAAGGAATTGTTTCTAGAGGAGTAATAGTTTGAAATTCATTCCACAACCGAGGAGCATAGTAAGAGAAAGCTGATTTTCCGTGCTCTGAATATACCCCAGGTACTTCTAATTGATTCCCATTTGATGATCTGGTGATATAGTTCTTTCTACGCAAACATAAAAGACTAGTAATTTGGAAGCATAGCCAGCAATGCCTTTACAGTATACAATTATTATATGAATTTCCTTTTTTGATATAAAGAGGACTAACCTACATTGTTGTACAGCAAACAAGTGAGTATGTGAGCAAGCATTAGTTATAAATCGCAATGCAGCATGTGTAATGTATTGTCATTTTGTCAGTGTCTTTAAGAAACACTCCGGACTCTGTGGTTGATTAGTATAGGCTCCTCCTCCTCATGTGTGTGTGCACTGCAGAAAAAGAAGTAAAGCAGCACTGAACGTTTGAAAGCAGTGTCGGTATCGTGCATTATTTTACATGGTGTCAGAAGTCTGCTAAGTACAGATAATGAAGTATGGCATCCTCGCAGTTCGATCACCCAAAAATCGACTGGGACGCTCCGGATTTGTATCAAGAATTCGAAAGATTTCGAAGTCACGTCACGTTTGTCTCCGAAGGCCCGCTATCGGAGCTAACCGCGAAGCAGCGCGCAGGCTGGCTGTGTACGTGGATCGGCGAACAAGGCCGGGAAATCTACAAGACGTTCAGCTGGGCGGAAGGTGAGAGAAATGATCCTTTCAAAGTTTTGGACAAATTCGCCAGCTACATAAGGCCGAGAAAGAATAAGAGGATAGCCAGACCTTTAACCTTAGTGAGGCAAACATATAGCGACACAAAATTAATGCATGCGGAGATTGATCATATTTGTATTACATATTGTATATTACATATACTTTTACTATCTACGCCAAAGAAAGCAGTCAAGCCTTTTTTACTAAATGAATCTACACAAGTTGCGCTTAATGCCATATCCAATGATGTGTGTTGAGATATTTAATATGAAAATAATTGTAGCCTAATTTGGTTATGTCTTTTATCTTATTTAACCATAATCATGATATTGTAACTGTTGTGTCTTGCTCACTTTTCCGTGAACAGCCGCGCATAAATCATAACTGGAACTAATGAAATTCAATAATAACGGCAATCGTATTTAACAATAAAGGCTCATATTTGAATATGTTCTTTTCTTTATTTATGAAGAATTATAAGCGTGTGTAGAGCAGAGTGATCACAAGATGCTAGGCCAAGTTTTGTATTGTTTATACAAGAGTGCTACTGTAATAGCAGAGTTTGAGACTGTGGATATCTCACAAGAAAATGAGCTGAGTGGTGAAACGGCTGAAGGACTAGGTTTAGTCATTCGGCTGGATGCATTAAAGCCAACTAACCTGAAAAACAAAGAAAAATGCTCCAGTGGTGCAATGGAAAGACAGAATGTGCCAGCTGGGCTAGATGATTATCCAGAGTTGGCGCATACTACGGGAAATTTGCCGGGCAAATACACGATCAAAATTGACCCAAACGCAAAAGGCATAGTTCATCAAGTCCGATGTCAACCAGCGGCACTCAGAAAGAAAATAATAGAGAAACTGCAAGAGATGGTCAAAATGGGATACATCACCAAAGTCGACCAACCGACTGATGTTAGTTTCATTTCGTTTTAGTTTTTCAAATATTTTGACGTTTATTTTATTTTAGTTTACGAAATAGTTTTTTCATCAATCGTTTTCGTCTTTGTTTTAGTTTTCGTTTACGAAATTAACCTTGAGCCAGACACCGTTTTGAACAAAGAAAGCAAGGTAATGCTGAGAGTTTTTACCACTTTGTGAAGGACTTGAGACTTATACTAATGGATTGCGAGTATGCCGGTCAAGATGACATTTTGATCGATGCAATAATCGCGGGTGTCAGAGAGAAGCGCGTCCAAGAAAGACTGTTAGACAAAGGTGAAGACCTAAGAAGGAGCATGATGCGATCCTCCATAAAGTAATTCAGAGAGCCACAAGTTACAATCTGAGCCTCAACTTCGACAAATGCCACATCAAGCAATCTTCTGTGCCATATGTAGAACACCTAATAACAGCTGAGGGTCTAAAGGCAGACCCAGCTAAAATCGAAGCTGTTAAGTCCATGCCAGCACCAGCAAACAAGGATGGTGTCCGTCGTTTCCTAGGCTTTGTTACCTACTTGTCAAAGTTCTTGCCAAATCTCAGTGAGGTGGCTGCACCTCTGCGACAGCTTCTAAAGACTGATGTCGAGTATGCATGGCAGCCGGCACTGCAACAAGCCTTCGACAAATTAAAAGACTTAGGCACACAGTCCCCAGTGCTAAAATTGTTTGATCCGTCTAAGCCTGTCGAAATTTTCTGTGATGCCAGCAGCAGCGGCTTGGGTGCTGTCCTGCTGCAGGAAGATCATCCAGTTGCCTTTTCCATCTCGATCGCTGACGGACACAGCAACACGCTACGCGCAAATTGAGAAGGATATGCTCTCAATAGTTCACGCCTGTACAAAGTTTCACAATTTCATTTTTGGAAACCATGTCACGGTGTACAATGACCACAAGCCTTTGGAAGAAGCCACTCCTCTCTACCCCCATGCGCATACAAAGAATGCGTCTTCGACTCCAGTGGTATGACCTGACAGTCAGATACAGGCGAGGGAAAGACATGGAGCTGCCTGACACATTGTCTAGAGCACAACTACCCGAGAAAAAGTCAGAAATTTAAGGCCTGGAGTGTATCTCTATGCTCAGTTTTGTCTCTGTTTGTGAGCAGAAATACTCAGAGCTCCAAGAGCGCACAAAAAATGAGCTCAGCACCCTCCAACAAATGATACAGCAAGGGTGGCCAAACCATAGGCGCGATGTACCCACAGTTGTCCAACCATATTGGGACTCTCGAAGACAGCTTGCCATAGCTGATGGCATCATCTATAAAGGCCTCCGTATAATAGTACCTCCTTCCATGCAAAATGATATGCTGAAGCTTGTACACCAGTCTCACTTGGGAATAATGACGAGCAAACAGAGCACTCGTGAGGTCTTATACTGGCCAGGCATGAGTGCCGAAATAGAGGAAATGATAAAGAACTGCAGCAAATGTGCTGATTTCCAGAATCGGTTACCCAGATAACCGCTCAAGCCCACAGAAACTCCAGAACTTCCATTAGAAGAGGTGGCTTCAGATCTTTTTTAGTTTGAAGGTAATCATTATGTTCTGCTGGTGGATTACTATTCAAAATTCATTGAGGTGGATAAGTTGAAAGGTCTGTATTGCAGTGCTGTCGTGGAAGCCCTCAAGGCTCAATTCAGCAGACACAGAATCCCTACCATCTTCGAACGGACAACGATCCACAATATTCCGCAGAGGAATTTAAGAACTTCTGCCGAAGCTATGGAGTCACACACAAAACGTCGTCACCGCACACGCCACACTCCAACTGCGAAGTGGAACGAGCAGTTCAGACTGTTAAGAAACTCTGGTGCAAGGCAACAGACAAACATCTTGCTCTACTCGACTACAGGACAACGCCGATAGAGTCAGTAGGCCTGTCACCAGCGCAGCTGCTAATGGGCAGACGGCCCCGTAACAACCTGCCTGCTGGTCGGCAGCTGCTCACACCAAGTGCTTATGACCCTCTTAAAGTGAAACGTCGACTGGACGAAAGTAAGAGCATCCAAAAGATCTACCATGACCGCAAGAGGGCAAGTGGTCCTCGACCTGCTCTGAATCCAGGAGATGAAGTAAGGATGCAACCATATCCTGGAAATCATAAGTGGTCTCCTGATGTCGTTGTGGGACAGCATTGTGCTCCAAGATCTTATGTTGTAGACTGCGGAAGTAAGGAGTACCGTCGCATTCACATTCAGCATCTTCGCAAAAGCCAATGAGGCCCGTCACAGGCCTGACAATGAACACTGGACTGAAATATCAGAGACATTGAGTGATGAAGAGCATGGACCTGTTGACCACACTAGTTTGCCCCAATCACCGCCTAAAGAGCTTTCATCTGGCAAACAAACACTGCCAGCTGGACAGTATGTCACCAGGCGAGGCAGAATTGTGAAGCCTCCAAACAGGCTCTGCTTATAGTTAGGGAAAGGTGTGGTAAAGACACCTTGTGGAAGTGACGTGCTGGTAACCTCTCCTTCCAAGATAGATGTGATGATGCTTGACTGTTCATTGTTATTGTTACATGCACCATTAACTGCAACTTTTACACAATGTGTGCTAAATCTTTTGTTTATGTTTTACTTGGATGTTTTGCATGTTATCTGCAGTTAAAAAAAAAAAAAAAGAAGACGACAAAAAATAGCAGTCAGATGTTTAACATTCATAATAGCTGTGTATATATTTGTAGTAGTTATGTTGGAATGTTTTCTGCTGAGGAGGGACGATGTATTGTCATTTTGTCAGTGTCTTTAAGAAACACTCCGGACTCTGTGGTTGATTAGTATAGGCTCCTCCTCCTCATGTGTGTGTGCACTGCAGAAAAAGAAGTAAAGCAGCACTGAACGTTTGAAAGCAGTGTCGGTATCGTGCATTATTTTACAGCGTGATAAACACTATCCAGCCTTTTTAGTAAGTATAAAGAAACATGCATGTAAATAATATCACCATAATCTAAGATGGGTAAGAAACAGTGAATCCCAAAAAAATGACTTAAGCTGGGTTTTCACAGACAAGGTCATGTATACTGTCACCCAGAAAATTAATCCAAAAAATTAATCCATATAAACAGAGTGGTCGGGTGAAAAACCTACTACAAGTAACCTTTAACAGACATGTTTTCCTGCACTGATTGTGGTGTTGAGTGCTTACACATTCGAGCAGTTCAGAAAATACAAAACTATAATATATCTATATTTTAATAATATAACCGCTCAACTTACTTGAGTATCTGCAGTTTATAGGTTGGATCCTGCAGTTTGTGGTTGAGCAGCTGGCCTCCTGAATCTCCCGGGTGATTGTAGCTCAGATCCAGCTCTCTCAGGTGTGAGGGGTTTGAAATCAGAGCTGAAGACACATAACCACAGCCTTCATCTGTCACCATACATCCAGACAACCTACAGAGAGAAAGAAGGTCTGAAATGTCATTCATGTTTACCCTTTTATGATTGAATTACATACTTTTCAATTGTAGGCAAATTCATTCCTTTAATGTACCTGTAACTAAAGTAAAGTACTTCCTCATTTGTAAGTCACTTTGGATAAACATCTGCTTAATGAATAGATATAAACATAAATGTAAACTTTTTTTTTTTACAGACAGTATACACAGGAAGTTTATATGTTTAATCTGAATGCAGTTGCAGTAATCACAGTAATAGTCAGTATTATTCACAGTAATAACACAGCGAGGTAAATGTTATAGAGAGCAGTTGATGCATTGTAATGTTTAGTGCAAATAGCTTGTCAGAGTGCTGAAGAACCAGTATTTAGACCAGTGTTTACTGTAAAATACTGTTTGTGAATATCTGCTCAAATGTACATAAACATTCTGAAAATATTCTAAACAATAGTAATTTAGTTTCTAATACAGTACCTGTCAAAAGTTTGGAAACATTACAATTTTTAATAAAGTCTCTTATGCTCACCAAGGCTGCATTTATGTGCTCAAAAATACAGTAAAACTATTAATATTGTGAAACAGTATTATAAATACCTCTTTTTTTATTGCAGTATATCATAAAATGTAATTGACTGCTGTGATCAAAGCTGAATTTTCAGCATCATTACTCCAGTCTTCACTGTCACATGATCCTTCAGAAATCATTCCACTAAATTACTGCATGAGTTGTTACCTGTAGCAGAAGAACCGCTTCTCAATATTATTAACTCATCATTGTCTTTAGGTCACATCAATAGTGTTCATCGTCTGTTTGACTACATCATTAACTGAATTTTACCGTACATTTCTGCCATATGTACATTAAATTGACAGTCACCACTGACAAGCTACTACTAAATATATTGTAGAAACTTAATGTTCTGTAAAGCTGCTTTGCAATGATTTGTGTCATGAAAAGCGCTATACAAATAAACTTGAATTGAATTCTAATATGCTGATTTGCTGCTCAAGAAACATTTCAGATTATTATCAATGTTGAAAACGGTTGTGCGGCTTCATGTTTATGCAGAACCATGATACACTACCATTCAAATGTTTGGGGGGGTGTGTGCTTTAAATGGAAATGAATGCTTTTATTCAAAAAGCACAATATCAAATCAAAAACAAATATTCTGTTTATGTAATTTGTATGAAACCAGCATGAGGTACAGTTTTTCCCGTCTGAGTTAATTATCTAAAGTGGTAACACCCACGTTCAGGGCAGCCTATTCATATGGTAATCATCTACGTGAGACACGCAGACATGCAAATGCTCTATCACCTCTATAAACAAAGCAGCAGGATTCATCTACTTTTTATCGTTTTTAGAAGACTCAAAATAAAGAATAAGCCAGAATTTACCTCAGACTTTGTTACATTTCATCTAATTATTCCACAAAACAAGAATGTGAATTTTATGTCCTATAATATATGATATGTAATACAATATAAAAGTTTACACTCCAGCATGATAAATGTAACAATCAAAGAATGTGCAAGACTTAAAGAACCTCAGACACTTTGATCTTCTGAGATACAGACAATACACACACACACACACACACACACACACACACACACACACACACACACACACACACAGTGTATTAACATACAGACATTCGTTTTGACATCTCACTGAGAGAAGATGTGAGAAAAGTCCCTTCTCACCCATCCTTTAAAAAACTTTTTAAGTGAACAGTAATGCCAGCCAGAGCGAAAACCACGTTAGCCTAACCCGAACGTCACATCACAGAAACAGCAAACTAAGTGGGAAGCAGCACACTCAAATAGCAAGCAGTTAACAATACAGCACAACTGACAGAGCGAGAGAAGATGCGGGGGAAATTCCTTTACATTTGTTCCTTTTCAGTCACTTTCTTCCCTTCAGTCAGCTCACTCAGAAAGGTCGATAGCATAATATAAATGTTTAACATGAATGCAAGTGATATTCACAATCATGTCTTGATATCATTTGAATTGTCTCAGGGCGACTGGTACAATGGTCTTAATATTATGAGAAGTAGACTAAAAGGTAATACAGTTCCTAAGAGTTAGAGATATTTTACTCACTGTAGAGGGTGTCATTTCCCAGTGACTTTCATGCAAATCACCCTCTGTCCCCAAAAGGTGCAAACTCTCCACGTCAAGAACTTGATCAATGCAAATTCCAATTCCTAGTTCCTGTCTCCATTTGGAGGATTTTTGTCTTGGTCTGAGTACTTAAGGCTGACTGCACACTAGATGATTTTCAAATCTTAAACCATTTTAAAACCATGGGAGACCACAGACAAGACCGTTTCAACCGATTTTTACAAAAAGGTTTTAAAGTTAAGCAAAAGCCAGAGAAAAAAAAAGATGTTTTAAGAGATTTTTTAAAATTAGATAACGTAGGGTACGATCTGATGGATAACGGTAGAGAGTTCCAGAGCATAGGACCAAGAACTGAAAAAGCCCTGTCGCCTTTAGTTTTTAAACGAGATTTTGGAACAATCAATAACAACTGGGAGGAGGATCTAAGCATTTTCGCAGGAGAGTAGAAATGGAGAAGATCTGAAAGCTAGATAGGGGCAAGACAATGGAGTGCTTTGAATACAAAAACTAAAACCTTAAAATCAACACTGAATTTAACAGGAAACCAATGAAGTGACGCTAATACAGGGGTAATATGCGCAGTCTTTTTTTTTTGTCCCTTTCAAAAAATGAGCAGCGGCATTCTGTACCAATTTTTATCTCATGTTTGAATCTTTGTTTTGTTAATAAATCTTCTATTATTGAAGCTCTCCATGTCTCTGGTCTGTAGCAAGTTGTGACAGCGTTAAAGTAATCAAGCCTGGTTGAAATAAATCCATGAATCATAACTAAGAAAGGTTTTAAACTTGCGAAGCCCCTTAAGCTGCAAAAAACTGGCTCTGACTACAGAATTGATTTGTTTGTCAAATTTTTGTTCAGAATCAAGAATAACTCCCAGGTTTTTAACTTTTTGATGAATGTTTTCCTGAAAGAGGACACTGAAATCAAATTTAAATGGTGTGGTGGGCCGAACAAAATAACTTTTTCTGATTTAACTAAAGGAAATCATTTTCCATCCAATTCTTGATGTCCTCTAAACAAGCCAGCAAAGAGGACACTGAATCAGAACCTGATTTTAGGGGAAAATAAAGCTGAGTATCATCTGCATAAATGTGGTATGAAACCTCTGGCTAATGATCAGACTGGCGAGTTTGTCACGGTGAGATCTGCGTAAAATGGCCAACGTGAGACACTGAGCGTCACAGATTCCTAATGAGTAAATATAAAGGGTTAACTAGAGTAATTAAGTGTCGTAATAATAATAATAATAATAATAATAATAATAGGACATAAATGGACAAACAACCAATTTGTATGACAACCTAAATTTGAGGTCATAATAAAATGGAGTCAGATTAAAATTGAAATGAAATTAAATTACTTTGCACACTGAAAAGAGCGAACATACAGGAAACCTTCAGCCACCATTGGATACCTTCGTTGGGCCAATTGGGTTGACCTTACAAATGTTTAGATCACAGTTTACTGTGAAATACTGTGTTCGTGAATATCTGCTCAGAAGTAGATGTTTATAATGGGCCAACCAATAATAATGTAGTTTCTAAGATATAAATGTTGTTTATGTACTGTGTGAAAACACATGCAAAAGCATAAGTGCATGTATGACCGTACAAAATCATAATTTTTTTTCGTTCTGAATGGGCAATATTAGTATTATTGATCACTAATACAGTTACTCCTGAAATCAGCATGCTCACATTTGTTTGCTTTTTTTATGGAACGACCAGATACCAGAAAACTGGACCACAAATAAGACAAACTCTCCCATGAGTCTCTTCAAACTCTTTTGCTCTGAGAGTGCTTTACCAACTCAGTGCCACAACACATGCCCTGACTGACAGGACAATTGCAAAGGGTCACAAAGACAAATGGGCAGATGTCAGCATCAGCAAGCTGTACTTCTACATCGGACTGATATTCTACATAAACATGGTTAAGTATGAGCTCCATCACTGAATACTGATGGCGGGGCAGTTTTTTCTTCAGTGGATGGAAAAAGAAGCAGCAAATGCCTAATGGGTAGAAGAGTCGAACTTGTAACCCGAAGGTTGCAAGTTCGAGTCTCAGTACCGGCAGGGATTGCATTTGTTAGTAGACTTTCCTCTCATAATCTAATGGCTGGATTCTACAAACGTTTTAAATTTTTATCAGACATTCAAATACTTTGATATAAATGCATAATTATGAATGACAGTGGAATATGATAAAGTACGGTGGCATTTGCTTTTCTATTAGACAGTATAGTACAGAACAGAGAGATTGGGCACTCTTGTGCATCTGCACTCAGATACTGGGTTTCTCAATGCTGTCAAAACAGTACTGTTGATGCTTACTGGCCGAACAGATCAAACGTATTGGCCAATGTTTAATGCCAAAAAAAAAAAAAAAAAAAAAGCCAAATATCAACTGATGTAGCATCTTGATGATTTGTTAAAGGCAAATTTTGGTGAGTTATACCAAGACTTAGGAACAGAAACCTTGTATTGAGATCCACCAATCAGAACAATCATTACATCAATGCCTATGATCCATGATTCAAGACTTGTTCCTTTTTATAGAACATACCAGCAACAATTCAAATCTGTCATCCAATATCATGCCAATTTATGATTTAATGTATGCAATAATTTAATGTATTTTTCATATTTTACTTTATTCATATCATCCCAGACTAGGCATTGGTCAGATTAGACCCCTCGTGGCCTGCAGGTTCTATTTTTGATTTATGGATTTCCAGAAAATTATCTCCAAAGGAAATCACAATTCAAATGATGTGTTTATAAATCTAGGAGCAATGGTGAGGTTAAGCAGTTGTGATCACAAATAACTTAATGTAATGTGCTAAATGCTTAAAAAAAAAAAAGAAAGAAAAAGTAGTCTAAACCTCCAAAGTATCAGCACTCAAACAATTTTAGACAAACATTACTACAACAAACCTCAGTATCTCCAGCTGACAGTTTGGACTCTTCAGTCCATCAGAGAGCAGCTTCACTCCTGAATCCTGCAGATCATTGTTACTCAGATCCAGCTCTCTCAGGACAGAGTTTGAGGATTGTAGAGCTGAAGACAAACTCTCACAAGACTGACCAGTAAAATTACAGCCAGCAAGTCTATAGGACAAAATATAAATGAAAGTAGTAATTACTTTCACGCATACAGCAAAGGGGTAATTCAAAATAGAGTTTTTAATAGATAATTCCCAAGGAAACACTAGAGAACACAGAAGACAACTACCACCAAACAACATAAACGCAAGACAAGGGAACAGAGGAAAACACAGGACTTATAAACACAGGAAACATAATCAGTGAGAACAGAAACAGGTGTGGAGCAATGGAACAGAATGGAACAGATTAATGGAACAGATTAACTGGGAACACAGGTGAATGGGAACACAGAAAATGAACCATAACAGAACAGATACAGAACTCAGCGTGACAATAGTCTTAGCCAAGCACTAAACTGGCACAAATACCATAGTATTGTGAGTATTATTTAATAAAGTAACAATGTCAATGTGCCTTAACTGCAGTGAAATTTAGGTTTTTATGTGAATGTTTAAGGAGTTACCACTTACAGAGCTTTTGTGCAGTTGATCACAGCTGGTACCAGTCTTCTTCTCCCCTCATCTGATGTGTTGTATTTCTTGAGGTCCAGCTCATCCAGCGGCTCCTCTGACATCTGAAGAATGTAGGCGATTGTTGGGTGGAGAGTCCATGTCCATCTTTGATCTTCTCTTTAATGAACTGTGTGGTTCTCCTGATGCTCTCTGAGCTGTTCTCACTGGGTGTGAGTAGATCCTGTAAGAGTCTCTGATTGGACTCCAGTGAGATGCCCAGCAGGAACCGCAAGAACAGATCCAGCTGTCCATTTTTGTTATTTGTAGCACATTTAGTGTTATTTCATTGAATTTCTTAAATTATTATTAATCTGAGATGCACTACAGTAAATTAGGAAGTAAATGCTTATGCTAACGGTGGGTAAGAGGTCTCTGCATCATTGAATTCATCACTGTTTCTCTACACAGACACACAGCTTGTTATTTTGGGTATATCCTGTGTGACGACCCTGAGTCTCCTGATCCTATTGGAGCAGCGAGTGGAAGATTTTGATTGGTTGCCAACCTGTTAATTGATCATTAGTTTGAGTATTTAAGAGTGTTCTGAGTTATGAGTTATTTGGGGTAGGCACTTCTAGTGGGATAGTTCTCTCAGGAGTGTCTCTTTCTGACTCTTTTCTTGTTTGTTTCTTTTGGCATTTCTTATATCATGTAGTTAAAGTTTTGTTGTTGTTATTATAATTATTTTCTTATTTTCTTTAACATCCCTAGACTTTTGTTTATTATTTCTACTAAATGTTGTTGTAATAGTTTCATTCAATAAAGTAAGTTGTTTTTGATTAGACTTCGTTGACTGATCCTT